GACCCAACTTGGATGCTATCTCTTCTGCGATGCCTTCTCTGGTCCCCCTAGCTATTAATATTTTATCTATCCTCAATTTTCCTTACACTATTTTCATATGTGCATGTCTTATATCTCCCCAGAATGATGTAAACAAGGACAGTTTCAGTTTTGTCTTTGTGTCCCCAAGTATAGTAAATAGTCTTGCACAAATTAGGGCCTTAATATTTTTGGATTGAATTGAATCAAGGAAAAATAAGGAGAGTCAAATTATCTTGATTCCCTTAAAATCACAATTCCAACCATTGCACAGATCACCTGCCAGCAAAATTCACAAAAGATAACCCCTTTTTCCTATGTCTCTGCTCCCTGTAGAGGTAAAGTCAGACTGCCGTGAATATCAAAAATAACTTTGAAGGGGAAAAGAAGAGAGATCATAAAAAGATACCATGAAGCCTGAGAGGAAGGGTGAGGAGGGTGATTGTTACCGTATAGCCAGCCCCAGCATTACCTTACCTGGACTGCATGGGGATGCCAAGACTTCTTTTTTTTTTTAAAGCATAACTGATTTCCTGCCTTAAGCATGGCTCAGCTTGAAGGTCTAATAACTGTAGAAACCAACATCTGTGGCCTCAGGCTATTTGAAGTGGGGCAACTATTTGAATGGTAGCTTATTCCAAATATGACTATAGTCTTATGGGACATATCTGTAATAGTGTATGAACAAAAAGATCAGTGATATATTTGTGGATTAGGAAAGAATTCCCATCTGTCCTTGGGGAGCCAATCTATTAGAAATGATTCCAGGAAAGATGATAAACTGAAAATGGTGCTTTATTTATTACCGTTGGATATGTAGCCCCCACATTCCTGTTGGCTTTTTAAAATGGTGTTCTTACTTAATGGACCAAAGGGATTCCTGGCTGGGAGAGGTGAATCTGGGGTTGTCTTCCTGCTTAGTTGGCCACAGGCATGTCAGCACACCATGTGAGCATCCTTGTGTATAATCTGGCCCTTTTCTGGGGCGCTGTGAAGTTTAGTTGTCTGGAATCATTGCCACAGAGTTAATGAGAGTGAGATGGACTATCCTAACATAATTAGGATCCCCCATCTATTCAAACTGTTTAAGTTTCTTTAACTATCTTGGGGGCCAAGAATTTTTACTTTCATGGGCCAAAAAGGGGCATCCTAAGGCCAAATCACTGATGACAAAGAAAGCAAAGCAGAGTTTGGCTAAATTCAAGCCAAGGGAAAAAACATCGTTCTTCTGAATTACTTAGGCAAGACCTAAGATGACTCTCCTAAATAAAGCAGAGTGGGTGCTGAGACTGAGACACTAGGCTGGAGTTTTGCTCTGAAATGTAAAGTAAAATATGGATGTTTTAGTATTAGAATTTATAGTCATCATTATTTTCCCCTGAGGTTTCTGACTAGTGGTGAAAGTACAGTCATGGCAATCATGAGAAATCACTTCTAGCGTGCCTCTGCGACTAACTTGGGTGAACTTGGGCAATTCAGTTAACCTCATTCTCTTCTGCCAAAGGGGTTGTACTGATGATTGCTAAGGTTCTTTCTAGCTCAAAACATTGATAATCTTCACATTCCTTCTTAAGGCTAGAAAAACCTGATAAGCATTTGAAGGAAAGAAGAAGGGTAGGGGCTGAGTGACTGGGAGAAAACATAAACAGGAAGTCTCTTTCTGAGAAGCCACTGTTGGAGAAAAGACAATGAGTTTAGTTTTAGATGTATTGAACTTGGAGGCACCAATGGCATCCATGGGTAGAGAAATGAAGAGCTGCCAATGGAAGTGCAGACCTGAAGCTATGGAGAGTTCAAAACATAGGTTTGGGAGCCATATGCATAGGGTTGGTCATTGGAGTCATAGGAATTGCTTTTTGATATTACATGATTTTGCCAGCCTTTTCACCCTTATAATTAGCTGGAAGGCCACATAAATACAGTGGCTTACTAGAGTCCTTTTTCCACCCCATGCTTCCTTGATGTTAAAATATTTCCGCAAAGGATATTGGCCATTTCTAGTTGGTAGCAGTTGATTTGCATTTGAAAATGTAATCAGGGTCAGAAAATTAACTTGATAAAAATCCTGATGTAGCTTTTCACATGCACATTCTTTTTTTCTTCTTTTTTCTCTTTCAACAAAAGCCCTCATCGTTACTCAATTTATTAACAATAAACTCTCGCTGAGCATCTTGGGATGCTCTAGTAAGAAACCTAAAAATGACTCTGCATGGTGCTGGTTCTAGGCTTAAAATCTTTCATTTAATAAAATATGAACAAATAAATCTGTTTTCCTACAGTATTTGAATTGTTTTCTAGGCATCCTCTGTATGAGTTGACTGGGATTGAAAATCTTTTGAATGAGAGGCAATGTGACATAATGCAAAGAAGACTTGTATTTGTTCCTGCTTCTACCACTTATTGCATGTGTCACCTTCAATGACCTGTCTGAAGCCTAAATTTTCTCATTTAGAAAATGAGAATAATAATAATAATACTTGCACTACCTACTTCAAGGGTTATGTTGATAATCAATTAAAATAATGTAGGCAAAACTTGTATATGAATACTTGTTATCACCACTACCACCACCACCACCACCCAAAAAGAACCCAGAAAAGCTTATTTTCTCACATACTTGTTGTGGGGATCAAGTGAGATTATGGGTGTGAAAGCATTCTGTAACCAAAAAAGTACTCTTCTTGAATACCTTGATATAGAAACTAATCTTCCCTTTGCTCGCTAATAGCTAATAATTAAGTCAGCTAGGTAGTGCATTAGATAAAGCACTAGGCTTGGAATTACGAAGACTCATCTTCATAAGCTCAAATCCTGTCTCAGAAGCTTACTGGCTCTGTGATCCTGGGCAAGTCACTTGACTCTGTTTGCCTCAGTTTCCTCATCTGTAAAATGAGTTGGAGAAGGAATAGCAAACTAGTCTGTTATCTTTACCAAGAAAACTCCAAATGGGGCCATAAAGAGTCAGACACGACTGAAAAAAAGACTGAACAGCAATGACAAAAGCCAATAATAATAGCTAGTATTTATATAATGTTTTAAGGTTTGAGAGCACTTCAGAAATATTATTGCACTTTATCCTTACAACAGCCATGCGAGGAATATCCTGAGATGTAGGTGATATTATTATCCTCATTTTATAGATGAGGAAACTGAAACACAAAGGGGTTAAGTGGTTTGCCTAGAGCCACACAGCTAAAGTAAGACTCTGAAGTTGTATTTGATCTCAGTCATATTTAGTCCAATATTGCTTTATCCTCTCTACTACCCTAGCTCCACAGGAAGTAGCAAGGAAATTAGCAAAAAGTTCTAAGGATGCAATCATATTTACGTATATTTTGTATTAATGATCAGGGATTGTGCCTCCTAACTATAGGTATTCCCCAAGGGTTTATTCTAGGCCATACTCTTTTTTTCTCTCAATGACCTTATCAATTCCTATGAGTTTAATTGTCATCTCTACACTAGTAAAGCCCAGGTCTATATGTATCGATCCCTATTTTCTCCCATGAACTTCAATTCTACATCACCAGTTGCTTATTTCAATTTGGACATTTCAAACTGGACATTCTGGAAACATTTCAAATTCAACATTCCTAAAACAAAACTCATTCTCTACTCCATTCTACTCTGCTGCCAAACCTACCCTTCTTTCAAATTTCCCTGTTTTTTTTTTCCCAAGACACCATGATTTTTCAGTGTCCTAGGTTCATGATCTTTGCATTATTCTCAACTCCTCACTCCATACATCCCATCAGTTGCCAAATCTTACTGTTTTTTTTACCTTTACAACATCTTTCTCAACCCCTTCTCTCCACTCACATAGCTATCACCATAGTTCAGGCACTCATCACCTCTTACAGTGAGTTCTTAACTGCTTTTCCTGCCTCAAGTCCCTCCTTGCTCCGTTCATCCTCCAAAATCCTGCCCAAGTGATTTTCCTTAAGTGCAGAACTGATCATATCACTCTCCTACTCAGCAATCTCCAATAGCTTCCTACTGGATTTAGAATCAAATGTAATTTCTTCTCTTTAGCTTCTAAAGCCCTCCGTAACTTGGCCCTAGTCTATCTTTCCAGCTTCACTGGACATTACTATCCCTGCTATACTTTGAGATCCAGCCAAACTTGGCTTCTCTCAATTTCTTTCTTTTTTTTGTTTTGTTTTATCTTGTTTTAGGCAGTTGGGGTTAAGTGATTTGCCCAGGGTCACAGCTAGTAAATGTCAAGGGTTTGGTCTGAGGCCGGATTTGAACTCAGGTCCTCCTGAATGCAGGGCCAGTGCTCTATCCACTGTGCCACCTCACTGCCCCAAGAAATCTGTAACTGACTGTAATCAATTAATTATAATTACCACTACAATTGGACCAGCCTTCTCTCAATTTCTTACACATAACCCTTTACCTCCCATCTCCATGCCTTTACATTGACCATGTTGAGTTCCTGGAATAACCTCCCTCTCTCCCTCTGTCTCTCTCTGTCTCTCTCTGTCTCTGTCTCTCTCTCTCTCTCTTTCTCCCTCAATTTTAGAGAGTCTTCTTTCTTATAGGCATAGCTGAAGTACCACTTTCTATATAGGAAGCCTTCCCTTATCCCCTCAAAACTAGTGTCCTCCCCTTTAAACTCCCTTGTATTTAACTACTTTGAATATATATTTTTTATTTGTTTACTTGTTATTTATGCTGTACATATATATGTATATATATATCCTTATTATCTCTAGTATTAGAGTATAAGCTTCTTGTGGGTAGGGATTGTTTTGTTTATTGTATTTGTAACCCCAACACCTAGCATGGTTGCCAAGCACACTGATCTGTCACTTATGCTACATGAGTGGCCCGTGTCCTTGGGTATCAAAACATTATTGACATTTTCTGACTAATCAAAGTTTTGCTATATTTTCTTTGGGAAACAAGTGCAAACTCAATTCTCTTCCCCCCAAAAAATATTGAACCTGCTGATCTGACTCAGTGTTCTCTCTCCTTAGAAAGGGACGTATAAACCTGTAAGTTTTATAGACCAGCTAGCAGTCCACTTCAACTTGATTGGGAACATGATCCCCAAAGACTCAGATGAAGGCAGACGGCAGAATTACCGAGCAGAGATGACATCAGGTAAGCTTCTCAATAAACCCAGAGATGGCTGTGAAAGTGATAGATTCCTTATTCTTCAACAGCTCTCAAGCAGAAACATGGAAGCTGATGGAAAATCTTTACCTAGTCTTCAGCTGTTGCGCTATGGAAGCAACTGATTGTGTGGAGCCTGTAGTCCTTTGCCTCCCAATGAAAGAGAAGTACCAGAACTTTCAGGGCTGTCCTTTGATGATTCTAACAGCAATGACAACTCATCAAATGTTCATGGACGTGAACCAGTAGAAAAGCATGAGTTTGAAGAATATGAGCTCGAGGCCTTTCAAATGGGTAGAATTCAACCCATTGTCTTTTCTTTCTTTTTTAAAGAAAGTTCTCAGGAGGATGTGGAGGTGCAACCCTCTGAAGCAGAAGGTGGTGGTGAAGGTGAAGAAGGTGGAGAAGGTGGTGAAGGTGGTGAAGAAGAACCGAAGGAAGCAGGAAGCCAAGAGGAGGTTCTGGTAAAGTATTTGGCCCCAGACCCGTAGATTTTGGAGCTTGAGTGAGCAGAGCAGCTGTCAGGCTCAACAGACTCATTTTATAGATCAAGATATCCAGGAAAAAGAAGTGTCTCCCTTAAGATGTCCCAGATAATTAGTGACAGAACTAGAACCTGATGCAACACATACTGATTCTCTTGGGAAAATCCTTTGAAGTGGAAAAGAAATGAATTTTATGTGTTGATTATACCTGGGACTGTATTCTAAGTTATATAAGCAACACATAAAACCTTGGCTTAAAAACAAAACAAAATACAAAACAACAGCAACAACAAAAATCTTGGCTTACTGTATCACAAGACGTACCTATAAAAGATGAATATGATAACTACTTCCCTTATTCAAGGATCTGGAATTTTGTCAGTCTGGGTATTCCCCCTCCTGACACAAATTGAAATCCTCTTATGATCTAGGAAACTATAGTTCAAGCCACCACCCTACAGCCCATCTGGTGATGAGCTCCCATGCATTTAGCCCTCCTGGGCCATAAGCAAAGCTTTTCAGCTTGATGTGGGATCTGTCAGTTTGCATTCTAGTAGCATAACCTCGGAGTCATGACAAAGCCTCAGAGTAGTGCTAAAGTACAACCTAGGTATAGTAAACATTAATTAAACATAAGAAATTATAATTTTGCTTGCTATCTATGGATGTGGGAGAGCTGTGTAGGGGGGGAGGGCGGGAGGGGAGTGGTATCATTCAGATGGCCAAGATTGCTTTAAAAAGCTGTCCAGGGAAATTGAATCAACTCATTCTTATTCTGTTAACATTTACTGAATGTCAGCAGTGTGTGTGAGATACCATGCTGGGTGGGCAAAGTGGGAAGGCCAGGGGTGGGGGGGGGCGGTGGAGTGGGGTGTGGATGGTTCAAAGAAGAAGGAACTACAAGGCTTACAGTCATGCAGAAAAGATAAGACATGTACACAAATGATTGGAACAAAGCAGAAGGTGAAAAGTGTCATCAGAGAGGAACAAGCATAGCGCAATGAGAATTCTTAGGAAGCAGGTATTTAAAACAGAGCTTCTTAATCTTTTTGTGTGTCATGGATCCCTTCAGCAGTATGGTGAAGATGACGAGCCCCTCCTCAGAACAATGTTTTTAAATGCATAGAATGAAATACACAGGGTTACAAAGGAAGCCAATGATATTAAAATAAGGTTATTAGCAACAGCCAACCAAAATTCCAGAAGACTGATGCTGAAATATCCTGCCTTTCTCCTGAGAAAGGCAATGGTTTTAAGGTACAGATTGACACAAGGCTAATGAGGGAATTTGCTTTGCTTGTCTGTGCATATTTGTTACAAGTCTCCCCCCTCCCCCAATTTAGAGGGAAGTGGGAGGGAGAAAAAATAGATTATGTTAAGTGAAATAAGTTAAAAATGAGAAATACACTTATCAATACACACATACATATGTATGTATATGATATATTTATAGACCCATGAACTTGTTATATATGTGTGTATCTATGTATGTATAACAAATATATATGCCATATTCTACATGTGTGTGATCATGTATATATTATATATACACATCTGTGCATACACATAGAAATGTGTATAGATATACATGCAAACATATTTTATTTGTTATGTATGTGTGTATGTATACATGAAACAAGTTAGTGGGCCCTGGTTAAGAACCCTTGATTTTAAGCATTGGACTAAAAATACTGAGAGTTTGAAAAGCTGAGGTTTCCTGAATGTAGCTCTTTTATTCTTTTTTAATTTTTTTCTCCATCATCACCACCCTCAACTCCCACCAAGCAAAAAGGCTGCTTTATAAATGAAAAGAGGTCACAACAGGGAAAGCTGAGGAGTATGGCTATAGGGAAGGAGAACTGAGATACTCCTTGGGCTACTGTCCTACAGGTGACCCCGCTAGGCTCATCATGTCAGAGAGTCTCAAACCAGAGACAGAACCAACTCTATCCCTCCCCTAGAGATCTTCTGAAGAAAGGAATGAGAGTGATAGAGAATGAAGTGTGGTGCTGGACAGTAAACAAGGCAAAGGAAAAATATAAGAATATGGACTGTTTCTATTTACCAATAATAGAGATAACAATGATAAGTAACCCCTTGAATCAGTGTATGTAATTTGTGATTCTAGATTGTTCCCCTGATTTGGAAGGATTTCAACCTGAGGATGATTCTATTTTTATTTTTATTATTATTTTCTTTTTCAAAAAGCTGGGACAGTTTGCTTTTTGTCTTATGCAGTTTTCATTTGTGATTTCTTGAAATATAGCTCTGAAAAAACAGGCTTTAAAAAAGCCCATTGTGTTTCAGACAGGGCTACTTGACTGTCTTTAAACCCAAATCACTCTGTGTCTCATTGAATGGCCAATAATAGCCCCTAGCCCAAGCCTTCCTGGCTATTATTTAGGTTTTGATGACTTCGAATGAGTGTAAATAGCAACTGTTTTCCATTCTAGTCAAGATTCTAAGGGTCTTAGACTGATAGTTTTGTATGTAGTGGTAATTGAGACCATCTTTTGTCTCATTTCTTATCTAGCCTTTAATCAATGAATGGATGTTGTCTTAGACCAGTTAAGATCAGAGAAAGACTTTAATTTAGAAAGGCCAAAGTTACCCACTGTATTCTGGGCCATAACCAGTTGTCTTGACTTTTGTCTTGCCACTGGACTTTGATGACTCTGGAGGAGAGAGTGAGACTGATGACTTTGCACAGCTCTGCCTCACTTAAATCTAATTCACAAGCAAGTAAAGACATCACCCTCATGATGTCATTGGTTCTTTTCAAGAACAAAGAACAAATAAGAACAACAACAGTAACAAATCTAAAACTTAAGCAATGGCCCATAAGGTCTTATTTAGGTATGAATTTCCAAGGTGATATTTAAACAACCAGGTCTCAGATACTAGTACTGATTGTATGATGATGGGTCAGTCACTTGGCCTCTCCTTTCCATGTCTTCAAATGTGGATAATAACATGTATATTACCTACATTACATGATGGGTGTGAGGAAAGCAATTTGGAAACTTGCAAATGAGATCTATATGATTTGTTGTTGTTATGGTCTGTTGAATAAATGCTCCTTATTCAAATACTGCTGACTTTTCTATCCCAGAAACAAATTTCCTTCTTTCCTTCCTTCCCCATCCCTCATCCCTCATTCTTTTTATTTGCCAATTGGAAGGATCTGGATTTGGGAAAGAAACTATTTTAGAATCTTAGAATCTTCCTCGTATTGTCACTCCTACCATCAACCCACATTTTAAGGACATTGAATATCTAGAGGACAATATCTAGAGAAGATCTAGAGGAGGGTGGCCATGTGAATGAAGGATCAAAAGGCTGTGCATTATGAGGGCTGTCATATGGAAGAATCAGATTCATTCTTCTTATTCCCAGACTGTAGAATCAGTGAGTAGAATTTGCAGAGGCTGATTTAGGCTTGTTGTAAGGGGGGAATATTCCTAATAAATTGGAGGTAAAAGTGGAATGGGCTGCCTCTGGAGAGAACAGGTTCTCTGTCACTAGAGGGTATCAAGGAAAACCCAAACGATCACTTGCTTTCTGGAGAGGTTGTGTGGGGTACACCAGAAGCACTTTGAAGTCCCTTCCAGCCAAGATGCTGTGAAATCTATTCCATGTTTCCTCTGTTCCTCACCTGGTTTCCATTAGACTAAAGTTCAGTTGTCTTTCAAGAGAAAACACAGTCAAAGTGAGTCTAAGTCCAAAGCCAAATGTTGTTCTGTGCCTTTCCAGGCAGCTGAAGAAGTGGCAGAAGGGGAAGCAGAAGAGGTTATTACCCTTAAAAAACCAGCAGAACGGAAACTCACCAACCAGTTTAATTTTAGTGAAAGAGCATCTCAGACGTTCAACAATCCTTTACGGGTATGGCACCACACTGACCCATACCCCTACTTGTCTTCTTTGAGAAAATCCTTCCTTGAGTATACCCAAGCATACATTGGTGAGTCTAAGATCCAACAGATCCCAGGAGGAACAATCTGGGTGTCATCATCATCATCTCCAATAATAATTATTTCTTAAGTTCCTATTAGATGCAAGATATTTAGGGTGGGAAGAGCTATAGGGATACAGAAATGCATTAGATAAGCTTAATTGACCTTTAGGAACTTAAAATACCATGGGAAAACTGAAAGCATCAATGAAGAGATCCATCTAACAATTCAAAATAGCATATGTTAAGTGCCATGTGAGGGGTGCAAACAACAAATGCTACAGGGATTCAGATGAAAGAGAGAACTCCTATGGTGTAGTAGTAGGAGAAACTTGTTTAAGTAATAATAATAACAACATGTTTCTGTTGCAACTTTAAGATTTATAAAGAACAGGAGTCCTATAAATAATGGAAAATAAAGTGGTTGAGGTAGGGACCAGATTATAGAATATTTTGAATGTTAGGTAGAAGAGATTTTACTTTATTTTGAAGGAAGTGGGGAACCAGTGAAGGATTTTGAGTAAGGAACTGGTATGTGAAAACTGAGGTTTTAGGAAGATTAATCTGGCAATGATATACAAAATGTATTGAAGACAGAGAGAATAGAGTTAGGGAAACCAGTCAGAAGATAGTGTGATGACCACTACTCCAGAGGGGATCAAACTGCTGTGGTGGTGTCATTTGAATGATAAAAGCACCAAGATACTCCATATGGAGTCCTAGGATTTCTGAAACAGAACAGAGATCACCCCAAGAGAATCTAAGGTCAGTATCTAGGTCAGTGGTATCAAACTTAAATAGAAACCGGGCCACTAATCTGTGTGTAAGCGTCCATGTAGGCCGCATATTGACTTAGTTTTAAAATATATTTTCTATGTTTTGTTTTACTATTATTTATTTTATTAAAGATTTTCCAATTACATTTTAAGTTAGTTCAAGGGACACTTGGAAAGGTTGTGACCACATAAGGCCAGCCGACTCTGTGTTTGACGCCTCCTATATAGGAGGCTCCACTTTTTTTTTTTTGTTTATATCATAAAATTTTTTTAAAAACTTTATTAATTTATTAACAATCACTTCCATAAACTTTTGAGTTTTAAATTTTCCTGCTCCTCCTTCCCCACCTCCCTCCCCAAGATGGCATGCAATCTGATATAGGCTATACATATACATTCCTATTAAACATTTTCACATTAGTGATGTTGTAAGGAAGAATTATAACCAATAGGAGGAACCACCAGAAAGAGGAAACAAAACACAACAGAAGAAAAAAAATAGCGACTAGTTTGCTTCCATCTGCATTCAAACTCCATAGTTCTTTCTTTGGATGTGGATAGTATTTTCCATTATGAGGCCTTTGGAGATGTCTTAGATCTTTGCATTGTTGAGAAAGGTTAAGTCTATCAATATTAGTCATCGCACAATATGGCTGTTACTGTGTACAATGTTCTCCTGGTTCTGCTTACTTCACTCCACATCAGACCATACAAGTCTTCCCAGGTTTTTCTGAAGTCTGCCTGTTCATCATTTTTTATAGCACAGTAGTATTCCATTATATTCATATAGCACAACTTGTTCAGCCATTCCCCAATTGATGGGCATTCCTCAATTTCCAATTCTTTG